AAACAAGACGCTCTGTTGAGCGTTTAGTCGCTGGGTATTAAAATAAGGCACGTCTTGATTAGAATAACTTACCATATATCATCAACCTCGTACCCAGGGCTTCTGCGCTCGTTGCTCTCTCTTCATTCTCGTACCCAGAACCGTTCTTACGCGCGGTCAACAGAGTGCGACGAGGGGCTCTGGCCAAATCCAAACCGGAAACAAAAAAAAACATGGTATTAGAACAATATCCGGTATTAGAACAATATCCGGTATTAGAACAATAACCTTCGTTGTGGCCAATCAGATGCCAGTTTGATGTGGATTTGGCCAGAGCCCCTCGTCGCGCTCCGTAAGAAAGGCTCTGGGGACGAGAATGCTCTCTTCTGAGAGCAATCTCGAAACCACAGCCTGCAAGCCTCCACACAAGATATGAGAGCAATAAGTACAGAAACCCTGGGTACGGTGATTTCATTGGATTTATCTGGCTTAAGCCAACTTCGAGAACATTGGAAACCAGGATTCAGCAATTTTATTCAAATTTATTGCAACTCAACATTTTGACCCTTCAATTTTCTCAAAAAATGTAATACCCCCCCTTATTATTATTATTCTTATTATTATTATTTATTATTATAACGAATATTTACACAGGCTGGATATATACATTTCAGCACAAAAGTGCTGTTATCAATGTGAGTCTTGTTACACCTTAAGAATTAATTAAAAACTATTAAACTACTACCTATAGTTAGGAAGTTAGCCTACTACATATTATAACTACTACTTTATCATTTATTTATACTCATGGCCCCACCTTTGCCCCCCCCCTCCCTCTTCCATAAATAAAGACTTGTCCCAAACTCCAGGAAAAATCTGTGCACTTCACAAAACATTTATAACAATTTATTGCGTTCGCCTCAGGCTGGGTAACCACAACAGAAATTGCCAAAATGTCCTTTCAAGGTAGCTTGCATGTCAGGGAAGAAAATGGCTGCCCCCAAGCCATTTGCAAACAAATTCAATATCTTTTCCAGAGAAATATGCCAAATCCCCCATGATGGAAAACGTCAAAATCCTCACCCCCAGCTAGGCTAAAAATATCGGCAATAGCTCCGCCCCTTGGATTAGGAAAAGCTGCAAAGGCCCGGGGGTGAGGGGATGGGAACTGCTGGAATTAACTGATACATTAGATTATCAAAGCTAATTTTAAAATATGACAATAACAGACAACTCTTCCGCCAATATCTTAAAAAGAAATATTCCAATAATTTTTCATTAATTAAACAGCCAGGAATTACATACCAAATAATAACAATGGTTAAAGACTGTGTTAATCAACAGCAAGTATGGAATATCATTACGTAAACAACAATTTGATATTACCTTAAAAGAAAAGCTACTAATTCTGACCAATGGGAATTTTGTGTGTACTACGAATCATATGCATTTATTGTCTCCGTAGCAGGCTTTATTTTACCCTGTGAGCAAAGTCGTCTCATATTTCTTCTCGGCATGGCACGGAGAAGCGAGAGAGATTCTGCAAAACTTGTGTATATTCTTTGTGGAGCCAACAATCCAAAACTTGGATAATTATGTATAATTTCAGGTTTGATACTGGTTTAATAACTGGTTTTGATGCCGGAAACAATGAAACCAGAAACTACTTATTAAATCTTCTTCTGGGAAATAGGCAGTTGCTTAGCAACCTTCGCACATGCTCAAATGAATTTCTACCCAAGTTCTGCAGAGTCTCTCGCGCTTCTCCGTGCCGAGAAGAAATAGGAGAGGACTTTGCTCGCAGGGCAGCTTTATTTCAAGGATAGAGCCTGACACGCTGGATACTTTCAAAGTTAACCCCCCCCCTACTTTATTACTTTACTCTGCGTAACACTAGACAATTTTACTTGAGGACGCCATATTCAATATATTATTCTCACCAGGAAATTCCATTTTGTTTGCACCCCTTGCACTATTGTGTTTCATTATGGCATCTTCAACTTGAAAGAGTCTATTACTCTGGCCCCAACATTTACCCGTTAAAAACACAATATATGATGAAATAACTAAATGTTACAGGTTTACACGCCTGACACCTGGTCCTTGTATTTCTGTCTTGTTAGGCTACATCATGTTCTTTTGACCGCTTATCCGTATCAGGATTGCTTGCATCAAGGGCCGTAGCGTAGAAAAAAGCATCCAAATAAACGGCAGTTTGCGAATATTATATAAATATTGTGAACTTTTGTCGTCTATTTCAAGCTTGTAGCGATCCAAGTTACTCACATAAAATGACTTTCGCTTTATAAAGTCTGGTTCATCGGAAAACTTTAAAGTTTCATCGGAAAAATAAAAAAAATATGTACAAAATCGATGAAATTGTCGATACTAAATAACTAAATTCGCTCCGAAGAAAGCGGCCATCTTGAATCCAGCGACGAATAGTAATGACGTAATTTTTATTATTTATTAATGACGTAACGTTCATTTTGTGGCTAACGATCCAAGATCCGACACAAATCGAAGCCGAAACCTAGAGTCGCTGCGGGCTGTGCCCCAGCGACTAATTACTTGTTTAGCGTCCCCGCCCGACCTGATAAAAGTCCCCGACCTCCAATTTTTTTATTTTTTTTTTAAAATCCATCCGAGTTTAGTGGAAAAACTCTCTATAAAAAAGACCGTTTTACTTGAAAAAATGGTGATTTTATTCTTCTGGGAGCTATGTAATACGTTTACACAAAGTTTCCTTCCCAGAATATGCCTGTTCGCAGCTAAAGTGTTCGCGCGTGACCGCCAAACGGTAATTTTCTGTTTTATTAAAAACATGAACTGTATTAAAAAACATGAACGCATTTTGAAAGAATTAAAGTGAGTTTTGACTGTGGTAATATACTGGATTTCCTGCATTTAGCAGAATTTTGTGTTGCATTTTACGAAAAAAAAAAACAACAACAAAAAAACCCGCCCGCCCGACCAAGGCCTAAAAATAAAATACCTGTGGTTCCAGTTTCCCGACCGACCCTATTTTTTTCTGCCCACCCTATTATTTTTTTCAACACGATTGACCGTGCTACCCTATTTTCTCCGGGTGGTTGAGGACTGCTCGTACAGCGTGTTAAAATGGCGTCTGTTGTCACAATAATTATTGAACCAAATTGCCTAAATTCGTCCGTAGGAACTACGCATCTCTAGTTAATATTGATGTCGGGACTCTACTGAAAATCGCCCAGCAAAAAAACCGCCAAAACCATGAAAAAACAATATTCAAAAAAATTTTTTATAAACGACCTACCTACCCTAACTTTTTCGCGATATGAAACCGGAACCATACACAGGGCCAATCGGTTCATTGTAAGCATAAAATCGACGAAAAATAATTACGCCATTACATTACATTTTTTCCAAGGGAGGGTGGGTTAGTTCATTGGCGTTTTGTAATTAGCTAGCGCGTACATGCACCCTTGATAGTTGATACATAAAAATAAGGTTTACATAGTTCATAAGTTATAGGGTCCTAATATAAATACAGCTGTTTCAAGAAAGGTTGTCCTTCAAAAATCTCAAACCTTAAACTCTAAGCGCGCAAGGTGTGATGGGTAACTTCTTACATAAGGCCTAAAACGTGCGAATTTTGCATTGTAATAGCAAGACAGATAATAAGCACTTAAGATGTACAACTAGCAGTGTAGGACTTTTGATTGGGCAAATAATCCTAGTAAAAAGAAGTTACCCATCACTCTTTGCGCGCTTAGAGTTTAAGGTTTGAGATTTTCGAAGGACAACCTTTTTTGAACTCGCTATAGATTACAAAGTTCTGATACGTATATAAATTTACAGATAATTTAAGATAAAAGTTCAGCTAGAAAATTACGCTTAAAGGCTTGAACACTATTTGAATTTCTATATAACGTACTGACTAAGGTCGTTCCATTCCTTAACTTTGCTGCCCCAGTTTTTGCTTACTTCAGGAAGGCTAAAGATTATCTTTGCTCCCAGTATTGTACTAAATGAATATCAGTATTTTTGAAAAAAGTCAAGCTGTGCGATGTTAAATTATTAAGGCAGTTAAAGAGATACAGACACCTACTGTATGGTACAGTATCTACACCGGTCCTCCAGCCGAATCGAGACTGAAGGGCATGCAGTCGCTGATGAGTACAACGGCCTATCAAAATTACTTTAGCGACTTATTTTGTAATATTTGCAAGGAACCCATTGTTCCACATTATTGTTATCTCCCAAAATAAAATCAGCATAATCAAAACTTGGAAGGATTATAAGCCTTTATGGAAGGATTAAGCTATAAAGTTGGAAGGATTAAGCTATAAAATTGAACCCAAGTCCCAAGATGGCGGAAAATGACCGTCCAATATCTATAAAGGTCGTAAACGGTTTTAATACTAATTCTATTTTTTTGTAACGCAGTTATTAAACAAGTTTTAGTTCATATAACCATGTAGTATTCTTTAAAATGGAAGCCAAAATACGGAATTCTGGCACACTCCTAGCAGCTTCGTGTTAACCGAAAGACAGTAATAATAAAAAAGAGAGTGGAACTGACGTCCATAGCTCTATCTTGGCTCCAATTTTGGTATAAAGATCCATCTACAGTAATGAGCGGAGGGGGGGAGGGGGTCGAGAAAATGTTCTTCTGGAAAACCTTTGAAGTTTACTTTACTTCATGTCAGTATCTGTTCCAAGCTCGTTCCAAATTTTTCAAACACACTTCGGTTTGTGCTAATTGTGCCGCTATGCTTCTTTACTTAACTGTGACATTTTCATTCTGCCAGGAACACTCACTCTGCACTCTGTACATGCACCATCAAATTGATCAAAATGTATAATAATAATGAGAACTGAAGCTATTTCGTTTCAGATACATTAATATACAGTAAATATTTAGTATTGAAAATAATTTCCCTTTCTCCCCACAATTTGGGCGTCCAAAGGCGTCCATTTTTCGTTGTAGCGGCGTCCCAGGACGCCCTTCTGGCTAAAAGCCTGCATTTTGGCTTCACTTTTTGGACTCGAGTTCTCACTCCAGATACACATGGAGCTCACTCACTCATAGCAATCGGTTAAAGGTTCATCGAGGCGCTACAAAAGCTGTACTAAACAGTATTGTAGCATATTGAAAATGCTG